GGCTTCGTGGGGCTTTCTTTCCTTCCTGCGGGGAACGTGCTGCTCCGTGCTGACTGCACAGCAAAAACAAGCCCAGCCACCGACAAGAAAGAATTCAAAGATGAAGAACAGCACAAAAACATACCAGAAATACATGGTGGGTCTTTTGTAATAGCATCCAAACGTGATGCTAAAACAATGCCTGACCATATTTAAAAGAACAAAACCCTGAATATTTATCACTCCCACCCTAAGCAAAACTTAAAATGCATTAATGAAAACTTACAAAATAGCTACCCTGAGCATTTGCTAACCGGTCCCTTGAATAAAAATCTCTTTTACAGCCTTTATTTCCAAAGCTAGAACAGGAATACAGATATTTCTATAAATTATATGCACTGCTAACATATGAAACATGTACCCCTAAACAGTTATTTTTCATAACATATCCTTTTTTACTATCAGAAATAACTAGGACAAATTGCTACGTAAGACTGAGCAGTTGAAAGGAAAACAAACCAGAAAAGCACAATCACAAAAACATGAAAATATACAAATGGGAAAAATTGTAGTATTTACAAATACTAATGTTTTTTAGAAGGAAGCACTATTATGAACGGTGCAATAGATAAATTATTTTAAGCAAAGTATCAAAATACAACTACTCCAAGCCTTCTATTTTTGAAAAACAATCACTCTGTTCACTCAGCTTATCTGAAAAAAAAAATTCTTAAAAAAAAACACATCAGTGTTAAGTGTAAGGTTCCAAATGTGCAGCAATTTGTTAAAGCTCTAATTAAAATCAAAGAGGTTCTGATTGACTTGGGCTTGCGAGACCCAGCCTCCCTGGTGCCATTGCACTGCTCTGGACTTTTCCCCTTAAAAACCTTGTCATCAAATGCACCTGACCCTCAAAATCCTAAATTTTAGCAAAATAAGTACTTAAATGTATTGAATTCCTTCTTTCAAAAAAGGCCAAAAACGTGCCCAGCTTGTCTCACTGGTTCCATTGACATAGTAATGATATTTTTGTGATAAATTACATTTATCAGGTACCTCTGACTACTTCAAACTGGACTTAGGCCACTAATCCACCTCCCCAAGGATTTATTCTAACATTCCAGGGTAGCTTCACATAGCCAATATTTTCATTAAAAAAAAAAAAAAAAAAAAAAAAAAAAAAAAAAAAAAAAAAAAAAAAAAAAAAAAAAAAAAAAAAAAAAAAAGAGAAAAAGAAAAACTGTTTTCACCCTTCCCCCTAATGTGAAATGCCCTCATCCATGGATGGGCAGCAATCATTCCTGACCCAGGGAAAGGTGTAAGGTCTGATATCTGACCCATCAGAAGCTTGCTTTCATTAGAAAGACGAGACACCAGTTTCCCAAAGATATACACACAGTGCTTGATTATAGTCCTGGGAGTTCTGGAGAAATCTGACCTTTAAAATTGCATTACTACGTACAGAAAAATCTATTTAAAGCAAATTTCAGGAACTGAGATATTTAAGTAAACTTTATTCTCCCTCTTTTTTCTTTTTTTTTCTTTCTCTCTCCCACCCCCCTCGAGATCTGTAAATAAGACTCAGGATGACAAAAAGTATCTGGTATTACTGATCCCTGTCTTCCTCTGTGCCGATCCTATTCCATCTCACTACCCCAAGGCGTGCTCACTGAGCACACAGGCATTTCCCATCCCGGTGTTCCAGCACAGGACCGAGGCTGTGCTCACTCCGCCTCGCACAGCTCGCTCAGGGCTTCACCCTCCCCCCCCCAAGTCTGATGGATAAAACTGACCCTCTGCATCGCACAGCCCAGAGCCACTCGCACGGACGGACAGCTATTTTTATCTTCTAGCTACCATAAACGAATATTTCTCCGAGTCTGAAAGGGTGCATAATCTGTGTCAGCATAGTTTCACATGTTTGCTCTTTTGGGCTAATAAAATCCCAGAGAAAACAAATTCTGATTTACCGTGTCTCCCCTCCCCTTCCCTTTCCGTGAGCCGCTGCCGCTGTCAGTCCTCGGGGGCACACACAGCAGGGCAGCATGTCATGTCACACTAGGTGCTGGGATTCAACAAAGGCCAACATGTTGATATCTTTTTATTGTTCACCAGCCTGGTTACTCTGTTCCCCCCCCTCTACAACTGGACACCTTTGATAATACGGGAAGTTCTGAAGCCGTAACATTTCTATTTTCAGTCAGGAAAGTATTTTTGTTTTTACAAAGAAATAGTCTCTGATCTTGCTTTTTAGGTTTCTAAGTAGATCTTTTATTTTACAGAAACTAAGGATGGGACTTAGGAGGGTACGTTTCTTTGCAAATAATGTAAATATTTACATTGTCAAATAACGCTTCCTTAGGTAGCCTGAAGACTGTTCTATAAATTCTTTCCTAATCAACAAAAATATCTAAGGTGTTACTACCCACAGAGGCAGAAGTTTCACTGATCTACAACTACAGCTACCACAGGGTGGTTTATTTTGTGTAGAAGGAAAAGGTAAAGCCTGTGGACGTGCTCCCTGTCTCACGAGGGTGGGATGGCAGTGGCCCACGGGCAAGCTCTGGGTTATTCCATGTGCAGTGCCCGGGCCACGGAGGAATCTCTGGGAGTTGGTGAAGGCTGCGGCATGAAATAACGTGTTTTGTTGTAATTCCTAAACAGGGGGACATTTATCTGGGCCATTTATACAAGAGTTATAACCCTCACAATATTTATACTCAGCATGTCATGTTAGCATTTACTACCCGTTTCCATGGAGATGGATTTTCATGCTGTAGCTATGAAATGCACATTGTTGCCACTAAGCCACTTCAGGCCTTTCTGGAAGCCTGCTGAATGCCTGACAAAAGTTGATGCAAACCAATAGTTGTTGTTCTTTGTTTGTTGCCAGACTTCTAGCAGAGCCATATTATGTCCTAGTGATTGAAGTGCCCATGTTCGCCCCCCTCCCGGCACAAAAAGGATCCTCAATTTCGGTGACAAGCATGAAGTAGGCTTCTGCTGGGGAGGGCGGCCCGGCGCGGGGCCGGGCTCTGTCCCCGCGCGGGGCCGCGCCGCGGCGGGGGCCGCTCCCGACAGCGCCTGACATTTGGGGATAAAGCCGGAATAACAGAGAGAGCGGGCAGCGCCGGGGCCAGCGCCGAGCTCAGCTCCGGGCTCTTCCCGCTGCTGCGCTGATCTCTCGGCCGGGCCCCGCCGCGCCTCCTCCGCGCCCGACGGCCGCTCCGCCGGGCCGGCCCGCGGCACCGCACCGACGGCCCCGCCGAGCCCCCAGCCCCGCCGCCGGGCAGTGCCAGCGGGTGCTCCGCGGGCCGGGCGGCGCTGGGACGGCCGCGGGACGGGGCTCGCCTCGGGCAGGAGGGATCCGCGGGGCGGCTCCGGGCGCGGCGCTGCCTGCGCAGCCCGGGCCGGGCCGCCCCACCGCCGTCCCCTCCGACGGCGCCGCAGGGTCCCAGACCGCGGCGGGCTGGGGGGCAGCGCCCTTCCCGCGTCGGACGCCGCGGCTTGGTGTCTCCGGTCCCGTCCGTGCCCGCCGCGCCGCCTGCACTGGGGTCCCCGCTCGCCAGAGCAGCCACCCTGTAGCCGTGGGCCCCGGCGCGGGGCTGCTCCGCTCCGCCGGCTCGGCCCGATCGGGAGCACGCTCGCAATCCGCAGCGCATCCCGGGCTGGGCCGGGCTGCCCCGGCGGGACCCCCGTCGCCCCCCGCGCCCTTACTGTTGGTAGTCCTGCTTGCAGTAGAGCTTGCGGTCCCGGAAGTAGCAGCTGGTGGTAAGCGCCTGCTGGCAAGCGGCGCACTGTAGGCACTCCTCGTGCCAGGAGGACTCGTTCACCCGCATCAGGAACCGGTCCGAGATGGGCCGCTGGCAGCCCTCGCAGACGGCCTGGTGCTGGCACTCCGACCCTGCAACGGCAGACGACGGCGTCAAGTGCCGGCTCTGGTCCCGACCCGGCCCCGCTCCCAGCCCCGACACAGCCCGGCCCCGCTCCTCAGCCTCGTTCCCGGGCAGCCCAGCCCGCCCGGCCCAGCCGCTCGGCGAGACCGAGCTCGACGGCTGCCGCCGGCACCGCGTCCCACACATGCAGCGAGACAGTCCCGCGCCCGGCGCCGGTCCGGGACTGAGTGGCTACAGCCCACATCAGCCCAGGCCCCTCGGACCGCAGCCCCGGGTACCGAGCGGAGCGCGGGGGCCGCTTTCGGCATAGCCGAGAAGCGACCGGCAACTCACCCAGCAGCACTCCCAGCGTGGCCGGCCCCGAACGCAGGGGGTGGTCTTCCATTTTAATACCGTCCAGCATCTTGGCGCAGTCCGGCGGGCCCCGCGGGAAGCACCTCTCCAAGGACTCAGGACCCGTCGCGATGTCCATGGGCGGCGGCGCGGCCCGGCGCTCTGGGCGGCGGGGCGAGGCGCTGCCGGGCGGCGGGGCCGGCTCAGCCCCGCGTCGGGCCGGGCGCGGGGACACTCTGCGGCCGGGAGGATGGAGTCGCTTTTATTTTTATCTGGGAGACATGAGGAGCGTTTCCTGCCCAGGCTTCCAGAGACGGGGGGCAGAGGCAGGAGCCGGCGCCGCCGCCCATGGGGCCGCCCCGCTACACGGGCGCGCACATGCCGCGCACACGGCGCCGGGCAGCCGCGGTGTCACCTGCTCGCCGGCAGCGCCGGACCCACGCCCTGCGCGGCGCAGAGGGCCCTCCCGGGGCGGGCCGGGACGGGCGGAGCGCGGGCGCGGCGGGCCGGGCGGGGCACGGAGCTCCCGGCGCTCCCAGCCCCTGAGCCGTGCGGCGGCCCGAGGAGCCGCGCCGTTTAGAGCAGGGGCCGCCGCGGAGGAACACACCCCCCGGCGCCTCACCCCTCCTCAAACTTGCTGACATTTGAACTCCATTGGTGCGCGCCGTATCGCTGCGCCGTGGTGATCCGTCTCCTCGACGTCAAATAGTGCCCCGGCCCCGCCGGGCCCCTGCGGTCCCCGACGCGCGGCGGCGCCCGGGGCGCGGGGCGGACAGCTCCCGCGGGCCGGGGAGGGGGAGAACGATCTTGGTCGAGGGTGGCGGTGGAGCGGGGCCCCGGCTGCTCCGCTACCCGGTCCGCTCCCCGCGCCGCTCCCGGCCCGACGGCGACTCCTGGCTCCTGCCCTGTCCGGGGTAGGTAGCAGCGCGCGTCCAGCGCCGGGCCAGGGGCAGGTGGCGGCGGACCCTCCCTCCGGCCCCGGCGGGGACGCGGGTCTGTCCCGCGGACGGCGGCGGCGCAACCGGCTCCGGCGGGGACGGGGAATGGGGTGCGGGGGGTTGCGCCTCTGAAAGGCGTCTCCGAACCGTCGCGGCGGGGCTGCGGGCGGGGGAGCTCGGGCGGAGCAGCGGCCTGAGGATGCTCCCTCGGCGGAGACGCCGCGCCCGCTCCTGTGGCAGCGCTGCTCGCTCGGGTTGGCCGCTAACGCATTTGAACGCGCAGGGACTCGGTGCGGAGCGCAGTGCGAGTGTTCACACACCCGGTGTGGGTGCCGGACAGCCCTGTCCGAACTCAACACGCCGAGATTCCCTCTGAGGAAACAAAACTGACGGGAAAAGCGATCCCCACTAGCCTGCCCGTGCGCCCGGAGCGCCGGACTCCGCGCCACCGCCTCCCTTTCGATTTCGTTTTTTGGGTTTTTTTTTGAGGGAATTGTGTTTTGGTTTTTTGGTTTTGTTTTGTGTTTTGTTTTGTTTTTCTGTTTGTTTGTTTTGGTGTCTTTTTCTATCTGATACCGTTAAAGATCTAAATCTGAGGAAATGAAAATCCCGAAAGGATTCCGTGAGGAGATTCTTAATGTGATCGGTGATATGCCATGACCCTGCCAAACGGAAGAGTTTATTTTGTAATACTCCCAAAATATTGATACATAATAAGCCGGGCAAGTGTTAACTTGAATTACTTAATGCTTCTTTTTTGGGGGTCTTAAGATAAAGTCTCTTTTTTTCCTACACAAAAATCTCTGAAAGAAATTCGTTTTAGTTAAATATTTTGGAAAGGGTTTTCAGTAATAGAGCTTATTTGGTTTTTGTTCTGGAGAGTACAAATCTGAAAATCTTTGTCGCTAATGCTGAAAAAATAATATATGATTATTTAATTCTGAGATCAAGATAAAGGCTGCTAAAATTTCAGAGTTCAATCAGCGGCGAAAAAGCTGCTCGTTCACATTAATATTTTATGTTCCCTTCCTATTTTCTCTTAAGGATTCAAAGTTCTCCATCACAGAGGGCTTCCGTCAAATTATCTTCCACAGTTGCGAGGAAAATTAGAGCCCCCGTTTCCGCAGGAGTTTTCGTGAATTCTCATTATAAAAAGAAGAACAAAAAGAAGAAAACCCAAACCCCAGCCAAATGGCAGCTCTAAGTGGCAGGACTGTGAAGCGGAGCGGGAGTCCCTAGCCCCGCAGCCGCAGCAGTAATTCTAGCTTTGTTCCTGGGTTTTTACTCGCAAATATCACACCAAATTGCTTCTTGCTGAGTGTGTGTACGCCGGGTAAATGTTATCCCCGCTCCTGCCCTGAGAACAATTCGATGAGGTGTTATATCGGTTTATATGATGCTTTTAAAGAAAAACAAAATGCAATTAAAACACCCACGCGCAAAACCATCACAGAAATAAACCCAAACCAGACTAACACAGCCCCACCTCCCCGCGGCTTCCTTCGAACTCTCCGTTTATTTGCAAGGCACATCTCCTTGTTTTGGGTTAATTTTGAGAGTCGAACAAGAAACGCAGCAGGTCCCAATCCTGCCCTTCCCAAAAGAGGTGGCCAAGAAGGCCAATGGCATCCTGACCTGCATCAAGAACAGTGTGGCCAGCAGGAGCAGGGAAGTGATCCTTCCCCTGTACTCTGCGTTGGTGAGGCCACACCTTGAGTATTGTGTTCAGCTCTGGGCCCCTCAGTTCAGGAAGGA